TCAAATANAAAATTTTTTTCTAATTTTATTCATTTTTAATTTTTTAAAATGCCCATATAAAATATTATAATATACAAAAAATTATAAAATGAAATCATTATTATACCTTTTTATATAATTTAAATTAATAAAAAATTTCAGAAATTCATTACTTAATATTGTTTTGCTTGTTTGACAATATGTAACTACATATTATTTATTCGTAAATGGAATTCTTAAATTTATTTTATTAGCCATAAAATATTAGAATTCTTCATCTTCATCTTATTTTATTTAGATTATTTATTCTTTTCTTTAAAATGCGCTCATTTTTTTATATATTTAAATATTTTTATTTTCTAAAGAAATTTAATTTTGTAAAAATTAAAATATATATAAAACAAATAATTAAATCAATTGTTTTTATTTTATTTTAAAAAAAATGATTAATTTAATAATTAATTATTAATTAAAGTAAAATTTTATAATCTATTATATATAAATCTTAAAAAAATTATTTTAAAATATGCTATGAATAAAGATATAATAAATATATATTTATATTATTAAAAATAAGCAAAAAACATTAATTAATTCAGATTATAAAACTTCTTATAATAACCTATTTTCATTAATTTCAAATAATATAATATTTTATATATTAAAAAATATATTTAAATTAATTTGTTGCCTTTATAAAATAGGATATTAAATAATTAACTTTCTATATTATGATATATATATATTTGCGATTTGTTTGTATATAAGTATTTTTTTATATATATATATTTATACAAATAAAAATATATAATATAATATAATATAATATAATATAATATAATATACAAATTAATATAATTACATATATAAAATATTATTATATATTATATCCTAATATTAATATGAAAAATATGAAAATTTGAATAATTTTCAAATAAAACATTACTCATTTTAAAATTTTAGAATTTTTTTTATAATTATTTTCTTTAGAGATTAAAGATTCCTTGAAAAAAAAAGGTTATATGCCTAAAGAAAAACTTACTTAAAAATATAGAAAAAAAATTTCATTTATAGACCAAAATTAAAATATTTATATGATCATCAATATATTAAATACATATAAACTAAAAAGTTTAAAAATAATATATAAATATTATTCATAAGTATATAATTATTATTATATATTTACAATCAGATATAAAAAAAGTATATTTTTTTATTATATTTAAAATATGAACATAAAAAACATGATTTTTATTTTAAAAAATTAATACTAATAAAGGATTTTATGATATCTTTTATAATAATTATTTTTATATATATATATTTATATATTTTTATTTTTATATATATATATTTAATTTAAAATTAAATAGAAAATATTCTCATTATTAATTAAATAAAAAACAAAAAGAAAAAAAATATTTATATTTATATTTATAAAATAAACTAATTTTAATATTATTTTAATTATCACCTAAATATACCCGTTTAAAATTAATTATATTTAATTTCCTAAAAATCAGCAGAAAAAGTTACATTACAAGAACTTTTACCAAAAAAGTATTCACTATTTTATATCGCTTATAATTCTAATTCTTATTATTATTATTATTATATTTATATAAAATTATTATTATTAATTAATAAAAAGCTTTCTTTTTTAATAATTTAATTATCATCTTCTGTTTAGTTAAAATCTTTATACTTTTCTTAACTATTAACTCTATTTTACATTTATTCGAAGCTTAACTAACTTATATTTTTTTTACTTGTATTATTTTCAGTAATATTTTCTTTTTCATTTATATGATTTTCGCTTTCTACTACATTTTTAGCCCCTAAAGTTACAAAAACTTAAAATTATTTTGATTAGCCTGTAAAAAAATATTTAGACCCCCTTGGAATATTTATAATAGTATCTTTTTTATTAAAAGTTTTTAAATCAAAAAAGGTCTTATTTGGTTTTCGAGCTTTTCTTTTAAAAATTTTAGGTTATTCATCTTCTACTTAATTTTTGCTCTCATTAATTTTCAAATCTCCTATATTAAAAATTTACTTAAACATTTCCAAATCTTAATAAATCCCAAATTCAATTTAACAACCACCTTTTGGCGATATATTAGCTTTTAAATCAAAAGGACCTATACTTCTTACGATTTCTTATAACACAATAGTTTCTATTTAATTTACATATGGACTATCTGTACCATCAAGATGATCTTAAAATATATATAAATATACATATATTTATATATATATATTACCAATAATGCCTTCGTTTTCTTTATTTTCGTCTTTTAAAAATTCAATAGTAAAAAAACAATATTAATTATATCTCTTTTGCACTCATATATTCTAATTTTTATATTAGAAATAGCTATTTTTAAGCAATTCATAATTAGTGAAATTAAAATTTATTTAATTCTTTTTTAATCATTAATGATTTTATATTCTTCCGGAATTTCATATAAAATCTCCAAATTTTAAAATACTTTAATTATTTTTATCATAAATTTATTAAAATCGAATTCTCCGCATTTCATCAATTATATCTAAGCAAGTTTCGAAAAACCCTTAAATTTTCTTCTATTATTTACAAATAGAAAATAATCATATATAACATAACATTTATTAACCAAAACTATGTTATTTAACACTATTTCATCAAATTTAGACTTAACTAATATCCATCCTTAATTAAAATATTCTAAATTCTATATTAATGTCGTCCTATAGTTTTCTAATACTGAAATTATAAATTAATCACTTTTTTGTTTTTCTTCTTTGTAAAAATCTATATCTTCACGTAATGTTTAGTCTTCAATTGATACTACTAATAATGGTTTACTGTTTGAAATACCATAATATATGACTTTAACCTTTAATTTTTGTCTTTTACTTTCTTATCCAATTTCTTTATAATAATAGCCTTCCATTTCATCCATTTTCAAAAATCCTTAATGCAAAAAATCGAAGTTTTTTGTGATATTTGTTGTAAAACTTTACTTGTATTTTTTTTCGAGTTATTTCAGTTTTTTTTTTAGTTTTTTTTGTTAATTTTAAGGAACTATTTAAATATTTATTTAGTAAAACATAAAAATTTACTTTTCTCTATTATCGAATGTAAATTATTTTTTTGTACTATTTTTTTTATTATTGAAATATTTATTGTTACTAATATTTTTGTTATAATTTATTTTTTATAAATAATTATCAATCATTATATGTCTATGGGTTAAATATTTTTTCAAACTTTCAAATTCGGAAAATCCTTAAAACTTTATATTTGATGTATCTATACAAAGTTCTATTTTTTCCAAAAACTAACTATATTAATCATCATCTTCTTTTTTTATTTTACATATGATTCCGCTGCAGAACTGCAATCATATAAGCTTAATCTCATAGTAACAGGATCATAATCACTAATTATAATCTTTAAAGTAAGCAATTAATCAATAATTTATCTCCATTCAGTTTCTTTTTCTAATCTATAAAATTTTTTGCGATCATATTTTTATTTTGAATAATCCATTAATATCATTATAATAGCTATTCCATAAAAATTTAGAACAAAATAAACATCATAATATAAGGAAACTATTAAAAAGTTAAATAAAATTCCAATTGTATTAAATATAAAACTATATGTTCTTATGTATATTAAATTAAATTATAAAGACTATATGTATTTTATTATTTAAATTTATATATTTATAATATATATAATAAAATATTTATATATTTATATATTTATATATATATTAATATATTTATATATTTATTTATTATTTATAAATATTTAATTTTTTTTTATATAAATGTATATAATGTTTAATTATTTTTATATTTTTTTTTATATATAATTTTTACAATTGAAAAATAAAAATATAGCCAATTTTAGTCTTTTTAGTTAAAATTATTCTATATTTCTTATAAAAATCGACAATAGAATAAGCTAGTTAAAATGTTTTATATTGTAAATCCTAATTATAATAAAACTGGGAATTTATAAATTATTGCCTGAATTATTAAATGTAATATTAAACTAATTAATAAATTCCAGTTAAATTCATAATATAGTAATGATTAAATAAGAAAAATTGTATTTCCTATTTCTATAAACACCATTTGTTATATTTTCTATTTATTTATTTTTAAAAATTAATATGTTAAAGTAAAATCTTATTATTTTTATTAAAAAAATTAAAAAAGATTGTTAAAAAAAATTTATAATACCCTCTAAAAAAATTTATATCTAAATTATTATTCTAATAAATTTGATTTATATTACATTGTATATCTATTGCATACGTTTTTTTTTTTTTGATTTTTTTTTTTGTCATATTAAGTATTTGATTGAGAATGAAATCTACCAAATTTATTCTTTATTTGACTTCTAAATTATTCTAATCTGCCCATATTGTATATTCAATTTTTTATTTCTGTTATTTTTTTGTAAAAAAATACGTATACAATAATAAATTATTTTTATAAAAAAAACAGATTATTAAAAATATTTAAATAATATATAAATTATTATTTTTTAATAAAAAAACCTTCTTAATTTTGTATATTTTTATAAAAATTAATATAAACTAATATTTATAAATATATAAAAAGTTATATAATTATTTAATATTAAAAATAAATAAAAAAATAATAATTTTTATAAAATATTTCTATTAATATTTATTTTAAATTTTAATTTTTAATAATTATTTATTTATTTTTATCAAAAATGTATATTATTTTCTTTATTTAATTATAATATAAAATTTAACAAATAATGCAAATATAATATTTATTTGCATTAAAGATATTTCTTTCTGTGTAAAAACATTATATTTATTTAATTTTTTTATTAATAAAATGTTAATTTATTATATTTTATTTATAAAAAATATAATAAAAACAGAAATTTATTTCATTTTCATTTATAAAAAAAAAACAACAAAAATGTCATTTACCCCAAGAAATAGAAATTTAACAAACTAAAATAAGCCAAATGAATTAGATAGTCTAATACAAAAATTAATATCATATTAAAATAGCCAAAAATAAATTTTATACAATACTATAAATTAAAAATATTTGATATAATAACTTGATAAAGATAAAATATAGTAACTAGAACTTTTATTCGAAAAAAGAAAAATAGATATAATTGATTTTGTTCATTATTTTATTAAATAAATTTCTCATAATGAAGAAGAAAGAATATATGTAATAATGGCCACAATAGATTTATATAGGTCTATTTTATAAAAATATGGCGAAAAAACTAAAATAAATACATCCAATTTATTATCTTATATATGTGAAGTATAATATTAAATCATATTTTTATATTTTTTATTTATTAAGATTTAACAAGATAAAAATTACGATTAATATAAAATTTAGTCTCTTTAAGTACCCGAAACTAATAAATATAATATAAATACTTAAAAAATAAGATAAGTAGATTAAAATATGCCACCTTTATATGGTAAAACAGAAGAAAATTTAAATACTTTAAGTAAAGAGAAATTTTATTCAGATTAGTAGCATCATTTAAATTAAAATGTCAAATAGTAATAAATATATATATTTATATATATATACATATATATTTATAAAATATATTATATAGAGGATTTTATGCTAAAGAAATGAATTGTATTTTAAGTTTAGATAATTTATCGAATAAAATTGATATATTTACTTTAGATTGTAAATTAAAATAAAAAATTAAGCCTAATAGTTAAAAAAATAATGAAAATCACACAAAAATAAATAATGATGTTATTATTTTTAATTTTACCTGGAGTGAGAGATAACAAAGAGTAAAAAAAAATATCATATAGAATAATATATATATATATATTTATATATAAATATATATAAATATATTTATACATATATAGATTGGAGCAACCTTAAAAGATTTGAAATTATCTTTTTGGGATTTATAAGATAATTTTTAATACGAAAAATAAATAAATATTCAAAACTAATTATCAGAATATTAGCTAAATATATGGTTTTTAGACTTATTTAATACTTGGGTAACTACAGATTCCAAAAACAAACTATATTTCTGGGATATAGAGAAAGAAATAATAACCCTAACAATTTCCAACCCAAAAATAAAGCACACAATATTCTAAATACTCGAAATTACCTAACTAAGACTTCTAGCTGTAGCATCCCTAGACCGAATAATAACTATATGGGACATAAACAAATGCTAAATAGTCTAAGAAATTGAACTATCAAAAAGTGGTATCCATTTTATAACCTATTTCAGTACTTATTAATCCTTAATATGTTCCGGTTTTGAAAACAACATCTAAATTTTCCAAATAAAAACCGATTTTTTAGATATTACACATAAAGGGGTTCTTATAGGTCACTTTAGTATTATCACGGCTATTGATTGTATTGAAAAAACTCACTTAATAATAAGTGCTGATGATAGTGGAGTTTTAAAACTTTGGGATATAAGAACTTTGAAGTGTATATAGAGTATAAATTATGGCAACAAAACTAAAATTTTGAAACTAATAAATATATACGAGAAGGGGAAATTATGTTTTCTGGGTACAAGGGTAAATATTTTATCTTTTCTTGAAAAAAATGAAAATTAACTTCAAAAAAAATAAACAAATTTTCCTATAAAATGTGTCCTTTAAGATAATAATATGCTAGTATTTTCTGAAAAAGATCTCAAATTTATAGATATATAAACAGGATAGGTAAAATAAGCTTTCGTGGGAATATAAGGCGATTTAGATGGAAGTATTAGTGCATGTGAAGTATTTGATTAAGCTAATTCTTTCATTATAGGAAATAGTAATGGATTAATAAATATGCATAATATGTTTAATGGAGACCTTCTTTTTTAATTGGACTCTCATTAAAATGAAGTCTCAGGTTTAAAAGTAGATTTCATTAATAAAATGTTAATATCATGTGGATGGGATTCAATTGTGAAAGTCTAATAAATATTACAAAATGGAAAAGTGGAACTTAAAAGATAAATAGATAATTGCTATTGGGGAAAATAAGTTAATTTAATAGAGTTTTCAATACATCATAATATTATTTTAATTGGATCAGATTAATCAGAGAAAATATATGTATATGATTATGAATTTTTTAATATTTTAACACAACTTGAATTAAACAGTTAAGTAAATAATAAATATATATATATATATAAAAAAAAAAAAAATAAAATATATATATATATATATATATATATATATATATAAATACTCATATATCTATTTTTTTATTTTTAGAGTTTTCCTACATGTTTTTATATTATAGATGGATTATCTATATTAATAATATCTAGTAATGATGGATTCGTACATATATATAATTTTTAATAAAATGAATAATCTTTTGTGGCTAGTTTTGTTTATTTATTTTATATTGATCCTTTTTTTAATAATGAAAATTATTTTTTAGAAAAAACTTCTTTATTATAAAAAAGAGATAGTATTAAACTAGAAAATTAATAGATTTTAACAAAAAAAGCTGTTATAAACTTACAAAACTAAAATTAAAAAAAAAAAGTATCTAAAAATACCCATACACAGCACTTACAATTTTAAATTTCTCCTCAACAATAGCTCTAACCATCTGATCTTTTAGAAGGTTTATAAACTCATATTGACGAATTATTAAAGATTCCCAAAAACACGCATTTTGTGACAAAGATATTAATTGAAAAAGAGATTGTTTAACAAAATTTAATTTTATAAAAATGTATATTATATCTCTCAACTAATAAAGGAGATTTAATTATTTTCGACTTAAAAAATATTCTTTAGAATTTTCCATATATATAATCTACTACATTAAGGTTAAATTATAATCCTTATAGAGTTTCTAAATAAAATTTTTTAAAAGTAAAATATTATTATTATTATTTTTTTTTAAACAAAAAATTTAATAAAAATAGAATATTTAAGGAATAAAAAACCCATTAATAAAACTTTAAATATTAAAATCTTAAATGGAATAATGCTTAATAAATAATCAAGAAAAACTCTAATTAAAAATCGAAAAAGCTCACAAAGACTAAATAACAACTTTAGACTTGATAAAATTAGAAAAGCCATCGATTTTAACATCTAGTATAGACTCCTATATAAGAATCTGGGAAAAATAAACAGGGAAAATGCTCGCAAGTTTGAACATAAACCACCCTTTACCTATTTTATGGAACATAAACTTAGATATATTCGGTGAATGCAAAAAAAAGCTCACCTACACATTAAAAATACTAGATATTATATACTAAAAATACTAAAACGAAATGAATAGAAACGACATTTCGTTTATAAATGTATAGAATTTTTTAAAAAAGCTTATATAAGAGAAAGAGGATGAAAATGTTCTTTAATAAAAATAAATGATAAAATAATAAAAAATAATTATGAAAGATGAATTCTAACCTAGAGACTTATAATTTGAATAAACTAAATAATTTTTCGCGAATGAATTATTGGGAAATTCCCTAAAAAGAATGGAAGCTAATAAAAGAGTGGCAATAGCCACTAGCTAATGGAACAAAGAGTAATAATATTTGCAAAATATGGAAAGTTTTTTAAATTAAAATAATAAATTTAATAAAAATAATGAAGATTAGGAATAAATAAATAATTTTTTAAATATTAATTATAGATAAAATCTACTTAAAAAAAGAGAAAATAATAGTTTAATAACGTAATAATATTCAGAAAATACTTAAAATTTAGAATAGAAATTAAATACTTAATATATATAATAATGGAAGTATAATTTATATATTATATATATATATATATATGTATAAATATATATATATATATATATATATATTATAAATAATAGGAATACAAATTAGTAATTGTCCATAAAAATAAAAAAATTGAAATTTTTAAATAAGAAAAATATTTTTAATAAAATACACTCAAACTAAATGATTAGTTAATAAAAATTTAAATTAATAATTCAGATTTGTCTTAAATTAGAAATAGTATGTATTTTATAAACTCAGAAAATTATGAATATTTAAAAAATGATAATTTTTATGATTATGCCTAATAAAAAAACTACACTAATAGTTCTTCTAATAATCTTTATAAAAGTTCATCTTCTTAAAATAAACTATCTTCAATTATTTCCAATATGAAATATAAAGTCAAAAAATCTTAAGTAAATTTCTCAAACGAATCTATTATTACTAATATTTTGTCAAAAAGATAAGAAACTTCTATTTAAAGTAGTTAATTTTAAACTGAAAATAATGCTTTGACCCAAAAAGATAATTAGTTTTTGAAAGATAGTAATCATTTACCTAAAATATAAGAAAGAAAAAATTTAAATACTGAATAAACTTAAGATTTAAAAAGACATAAAAAAAATGTTTCTAAAAAAAAAAGTTACTTCATATGATTTTAGTTTAAATTTTTACATTAAATAATGATAATATAATATTTTATATATAAAAAAAGAAATAATTTAATATTATTAATTTTTTATAAAATAAATAATTAAAATTAATTTATAAAATATTTTTATTTTATTTTATTTTTAAAAAAATAAATATAATAAAAAATCTATAATAAAGAAAAATATTTGCAAATAAAAAATATAAATATATAATTATTGCTTCATATATATAATTATTTTATTTAATTAAAAAAATTATTTATTTTAGTATATTTCTTATATTATAATAATAAAATATATTTAATATTTTTCTATATTTAAATTTTATATGGATTAATTAGATTTATTATAAAAAATTTAAGAAATTCTTTTTTTTATCTTAAAAAAATTTACCAAAAAAAATATTTAAAAACAAATCCCTTTGTATTTTTTTTATTTTAGATTTTTATATATATTAGTGTTTATTAATTAAAAGAAATATCAAATTAAATTTATAGTATTTTGTATCTATTATTTTTAATTATTATTTTTGTTTAACTTAAATATAGATATGGGGGGGTCAAAAAGATATTTTATATAAATGAAATTCTATATTTAAGATAATAAATTTCTCAATCTAATTTTTTATAGATATATTAATTCCATTTATTACAAAACATTATTTTATTAGAAGTTTTAATATTAATAAAGAATATTTACATTAAAAATAAAAATAAAATTAAACTATTTATTATTATATCTTTTATTTATATTAATATATAATTTAAAAATAATTTTTTTTATTAATATAAAAAATAAGTATAAATAATAATTTTATTATAATTTTTTTTATTATTTATAATAAAAAAATAAATATATTATTAAATACAAAATTTTCATTATATATTTAATTATTTAATAAAAAAAAAAAAATTAAATTATTATATAGTCTTTAAATTTCAAAATTATAAAATTAAACTTTTATAAATTTAATTTTAATATTTTTTTTGATTTTATTTATAATAATCTAAAATATATTATAAAAAAGAAATCTAAAATAAATCAAAATAAGTTATAATTATATATTAAAATAACAAAGAAACCTAAAAAAATGATTTTTTCTTCTATTTAAAACTATAAAATAAAATTTTTTTAATAATAAAAAATTATATAAAAATATAATAATATAGTTTTTTTTTTTTAAAAAAAAAAAAAAAAAAAATATAAATATAAAAATAGTTTTTTTTTTTTTTTTTAATTTTTATTAAAAAAAATAAATAAAAATATAATTTTTCTTAATTTTACATATTATACAAATAAAAAAAGAAATTTTCTAAATAAAAAATATAACAAAAATAATGAACTAACAACAAATAAACTAAGAAATACTAAATTGTATGTAAAAATCAAATTTCACACAAATTGAATCACTTATTTCTACATCTCCTACTCCCATAGACTTTTTAAAAATATTAAATGATAAACAAGATACCATTTTACATAGATTATCATTAAATTAAGCAAGCAATCAATAGTTTCAAAATATATTTTAATATATTAAGAGGACATAAGACAATAAATAGTTATTAATTTTAATAGACAAACAAAATAATGATGGATTTACAGCAATTCATTATGCATCATTTAAAGGGAACATTGAAATTATGAAAGTACTGATGGAATAAGGTGCAGATATAAATATAATATCCTAAAAAGGAACCAATGTATTAGAAATGGCAATATAAGGAGATAAACCTATTTCTCTTATATTCTTTTAACAATATGGGATTAATATACTAAAGAAAAATTATTTAAATAGCACATTATTACATTGGGCATGCTATGCAAATTCTGAAAATTCTTTTAATTTTTTAATGTCATAAACAGATGACTAAGAATACATAAATAGTTAAGATAATGTAATTATATATATATATGTATATATTTATTTATATATATATATATATATATATAGGATGGTTATACGCCATTACACTTATCAGTAATAGGTGGAAATTCTAGAATAGTAAAAAAACTTTTAATTAGAGGTGCAAATAAGCACATTTAAGATAATCATTAAATGATGCCTAATTAACTTGCTTAAGAAATCAAATACAATAACATATAAGAGATGTTAGAATTAAAAAAAGGCATTTAAGAATTTTGCAATTTAAAACAACCTTTTATGCCAGTTAATAAAACAAACAAATAAATTTATATTTTTCTTTCTATTTTTTTTTTTAAAAATATTGCCTTTATTTTATTAATTTTACCTTGTTTTGAAACTAATATTACTCTTTAATTATTTTTCTATATATTCTTAAATATAATGACCTTATTTTTTTACTCTATTACAATTTTCACTGATCCTGATTTTGTTTCTGGTATAAAAAAAGTAATTATTGAAAACCAAAAAGATAAAATATAATAATAAATAAAATACAGTCAGTCCTCTGAAACTAACCAAACTTCACTTTTAATAAAAGAAGACAAAAAAAGAAATCCCTTTTCGATTTATATATATAAAATCAAGAAGAAATACATAAAATATGCCCAGATTGTGAAATAATAAAGCCTCTGAGATCAAAACATTGCGATATATGTAAAAAATGCGTAAAAGTGTATGATCATCACTGTCCTTGGGTAAATAATTGCATAGGAGCTAAAAACCATAAATATTTCTTAATTTTTATTATTTTTTTATGCTTGAATTTAACTTATTTTATACTACTTATTTCTTTATATATTAATTATACATACTAAGAAGATCATTTATTAATGTTTTGGGGAAATAATTAACGATTGAGGCATATTTTATTTATTTTAAAATATATTTTTGGAATTTTTACTATTTTATTCAATTCTTTTTTAGTATTTATGATTATGGCACTTATATATGTACAAATAACCAACTTTTTATTAAATTTGACAACATTTGAGAGATATTAGAGCCTCAAAAAGAAAGAAAAGAGTCTTTAATTATAAAATAATAGCAATGTATTCCAATAATAAAGCTATTTATCATCTAAAGTAAGCAGTTCGGTTGAAGCAAATAGTTATTAAGAAGAATCTTTGCTTTTTAAAAATAATTAAAAAAAGTAAAATATGGGATTATATAATTGTTTTTTAATGTGTTCTCTTAATTAAAAAAACACTCTATATGATTATAAACTGTGAAAAAAAAAAAAAAAAACTAATAAATAAATAATTAAAATATATATATACAATAATTTTTTTTTTTTTTAATAATAAAAAAAAAAAAAAACAAAAATTTTATAAAAAAAACTCTTTTTTTTTTTTTTTTTTTTTCCTTTTTTTCTATCTTTTTTATTATTTTAAAGGAAATATGATTAAAATTTTATTATAAAAATAATGATTTATTTCCCAAATTTATAAAAACAACCCCTATTCACATTTTATATTGATACTTTTATGAGAAAAATACTCTAAAATTTCATAAAAATTAATTTTTTGGATTTCCCAGTATAAAATACATATGTACTATATAACTTTTTTGCAAATAGTTTAATGTCAAAAGTATTTGATAACATAATATAAAAGCCTTATTTATTATTCCCTATAGAAATTTATTTAAATTATATATATATATATTAAACTTATATTTATCAAAAAATTCTTTATATTTAAAATATTTTAATTTTTTGAAATTTTTTGTTATACGTTTTTTTATTTTCTTATTTTAAAAATCTTTTTTATATTTAATTTATTTATTTTTAACTACAAATTTTATTAGAATATTAAATTCAAGCCATTATTGGATATAAATACTTAATCTGTTGATTCTTTTCTTATTTTCGAAATCTAAATAAAATGTTTTTCCATTGAATTTTATAATGTAGCTTATAAAGGAGAAACATTTGTAGATTATATGCATTTATTATAATAAATTTTAATCTTTTAAAATTTTTATTATATTTCGACTATTTATTTATTTTTAATTTTTGATTAAGTATCTTGTTATTTAATGTTTCTCATAATGTATATATTTTGATTTATTAAAAATTGTGTATGTTAAATTTAAAATTAAGTATTTTTGATGAAATAATTAATAATTTTTTTGATTATATTATATAAAAATATTTTTTATAAAAATTAATTATAAATTTATACATAAAATTTTTAAAATCCATTAAAAAATGAATATTAATTAATTAATTAAAAAAAAAAAAAAACATATTATTTTTATAATATAAATAATAATATTTTTTATAAATAAAAAAATGTTTTTTATAAATAATAGAATATTTAGTACTTAAACATTATATACAAATGAAATAATAAAAAAACATAATAAATTTATAATTTATATAAATAATAAATATAAACATATATATATGCATATATTTTAAAAAATATTATTTATTATAATTTTTTGAATAAATCTAAATCGGTATTTAAATAACTAATAAAATAAATTTAAAATTCCTATATATAGATAATTAAAAATACAATATAAATATATATATTTTTATAAAATTATAATATAAAAGACTATACACTTTTCAATAAATAAAATAAATTATTTATTTTAGTTGAATGTACACAATTATAGTATTACTATAAGACATATCTTGTTTAATAGGTTTTATACTAAGTATATATTACAAAACTTATTCCATGATAGCAATGGGTCCAATATTATATTTAACTCTTCCTTTAATAAATGAATTAATCTATAACACAATCTCAACTATATTATATAATCCTAAAGGCTTCTTATTATATCATAAAAATCTCCAAAAATAACAAAATGTCCCAATTGTATACCATCCTCGATATAACTTAACAGCATGCGGAATTGAGAAACTCCATCCCTTTGACTCTACAAAATACTAGCGAATACATTAATAATTAGATTCCAATTTAAAAACCCTGACTCCATATGGAAAAGTATCTCGAGGTTTACTTCTAGACTTAAATATGTCTAAAAGATATTTACTTTCATTAAATTATTCCCTAATACTGAGTAAACTAGTTGAAATTCCCTTATGTTTACTCCCTGCGAGTATTTTGCGTTGGAGAATTTTAAATCCAATGCTATATGCAACTTAAGGGACTATAGATAGTGCAGTTTTGGCATTAAAAAAAGGCTGGGCAATCAATTTAAGTGGCGGATATCATCATGCTTGTAAATATTAAGGAGGCGGTTTTTGCATATACCCGGATATTTATTTAGCTATATAATATATAAGGAAATATTTTTGTATAGAAAAATGTGCAATAATTGATTTAGATGCACATTAAGGAAATGGACACGAAAGGGATTTTTTGGAGGATAAAAATAATACTCTAATTATAGATTTTTATAATCATAATATTTATCCAGCAGATAGGAAGGCCAAATAGGCTATTTAATGCGATTTTCATGTAGATTTTAGTATTTCTGATAATAATTATTTAAAAGAACTTAAAAATAAAATAGAAGTTTAATTATATAGTTTCAAACCTCAATTTGTACTTTATAATGCTGGAACTGATTGCCTTTAAGGTGATCCACTTGGATAAATGAATTTATCAACTGAATGTATTATTGAAAGGGATGCGATAGTCTTTAAAGAATGTGCAAAGTAATGTATTCCGATTTGTATGGTACTTTCTGGTGGGTATTAAAAATGTAATGCAGATGTAATTGCTTAGTCGGTTAGAAATATTATTTAAATGAAAGAAAGTTAAACTGTTTTTTGATTTTTAATAAATATATATTTATAAGATATGTATTTTTATATTATTTATGGTATAATAAATATTTATATTTATGTTTATATATTATAATAAATGTTAAAAATAATTATTATTTTTATTAAAACATATATACTATATATAATAAATACTCTAATTTTTCAATATTTTAAAATAATGATAATTAGATGTCTCAAAAAATTTAACATAATTCTCTAAACTCATTTTTTAAAATAAAAATTAATTAAAACATTTACTACTCTAAAAAAAAAAATTATTTATAAATACTAAAAAAATATAATAACAAAATCAAAATTTTTTTAAAAAAATATATTGATTTATAATAATTTATAAATATTAAAAAATTTTAAAAGTGAAAAAATAAATAAAAAAAAAAGACAAATTAAAAATAAATTAAAAAAAATTATTTTTTAGAATAAAATAATGTTAATTTGAAAAAAATTAATTATAAAATCTAAAAATTAATATAAAAATATTTTATGTATTATTATATAATACTATTTATGTAATATTAATAAAAAAAATATTATAAGAAACATCGTAGGATAATATATAATATGAATTAAAATAAAATAAATAAAATATATAAAAAATTAAATTACAAACTAATAAAAGTAAATATAAATATATAAAAAAATATATTTATAATATGTAAATAAATATAAAAAATTATTTATATATATGTTAATTTTAATATAAAATATATATATATTTATATATATATATATATATATATATATATATATATTTATAGTTTTTCAATTTGTTTTTTCTTATATATAAAAACATATATAAGGCAAGTATTAATTAACTACCGTATTTTATTATCCTGATTATATAAAATATGCTTCTATTCCTGTTTTTATTTAGAAAAAAGCTTTAAATTTATTTTCTATCTATGTTAATTGAGAAAACTTTATAAATTATTGTAAATTTTAATCTTGAAATTTATATTATTTCTCAAAATCAATTACATATATTGGATTTTAGGATATTATTCCAAAATAACATTATTAAAATTGTTATTTATTTTATATTTTTTAGACTGTTTTTTAATAATTAGATATGATTTTTTTTTCGTTTTTTTGCTTTTAATTTTAATCATATTTATTATTGTAATATGTATGATTTGTATTTTGATTAAAATTTAATTTTAAATCATTTTTTTGTTCTTATTGTTTTAAAATTCTTTGATTTTAGTAAGTTATTCTTTAAAATATGTTTTAAGAGTTTTCTTTTTTCATTTATTTTAATTCACGGTCCATTTCTTAATGATAATATATTTCAAAGTATTAATTTTCTTAATTAATTTAAATAGAAAGTTTGTAAAATAAAAAAATAAAAACAACATTTGTAAAAAACATTTTTTATTTAAATTTTATTTTTTTGTTAAAAAAAAAAATACAAAATTTAAGTTGTATATTATTTGTTGTTATTATTTAATTAATATTTTAATATATTTATAAATATAATATATATAATTATGTATTAATATATATAATTTCACATAAAAAATTATTTTCTTTCTTTTTCTTCTTCTGGTTCTTCTTCTACTACTTTTTCTTCTTTTTCTTATTTTTATAATAAAGACTTGGCCATAATAGGTCTTCCATATCTATAATAAATATATAAATAAAGTAACTATATATATATGTATATATATAAATTGAATTAAATATATAATAAATACCTTTTTTCTTTTTAAGGTAAATCTTATTCTCTTTTTCTTTATTCTTATTCTTTTTTTTCTTATTCTTTGAGACTTTATTTAATCTAATTATTTTTAAATATGAATTATAAAAAAATAAATTTAATATAAAGTATATAAGAAAAAATAAATAATCACATTTTCTCTTCTTATTCCTGTACAAATTCTTTCTTATTCTTAAAGTCTCTTTGGATCGTTTTATCTATAAAATTTTAAATCTTTGATTTAATTTTCAAGTTTTTTTTCCATTTCCTTTAAAAAAATTATATAAATATATATATATATATATTTATATATATATGTTTATTTTCTTTTTTTATAAAATACTTTTAGCATTTCTATTCCACTTATATCTTTTCTTATATCTGCATTTTTTTCTTAAGCTAAAAATTCATTTTTATATATTTTATGAATCTTTATGAAAAAAATAAATAAAAAAACATTTTAATTAAAATAAATATATATTTAAGAAATATTAAATATATAAAAATTCACTTCCGATTCAATTTAAGCTAATTAAGAAGGCGCTTAATTATCATTTTTTATTTATTTTAATCTTTTAATTTATTCGTTTACTTACTTTTTTATATAAAAAAAATAAACTTTTAAATAATATCATACATCTAAGCTTTTCTATAGTTCATTTTTAGCTTAAATTCTATTATTTTTTTCTTCATTTAATATTTTTTACCTTTTCTAATATCTATGTTTAATTTCTTCTGCCATTTATTCTAAATCTTATGTATTTTAAATTAAAGACAAATTTTTTTCTTATAAATCAATGAAAATTTTATCCAATTATTCCGGTCTTTTAAAATATGGTTCAAATTCTTCATCACTTTCATTTAAAAGTTATTATATTTCTGGTTTTAAATTATTGATTAAACCTCTAATTATTTCCGATGTATTATTTTTCTATGATTTACTTCTCTATGAAATTTCTCTTTTTAATTTATTTTACCTTAATTACTCCTCTATATACTCCTTTGGAGTGATTTAATCCAAAAAGCTCTTCTATCCCCACATTTCTTCTAAATTTTCAAGTTTTTATGAAATTCTAGTAGTTAAATCAGCTTTTAATTCCAAAAGATTTTTGATTTCAGCAATTTTTTCTTATTTTTTTTTAGTTTCATCTTCAGCTGCTTTAATGGCTTATCTCGAACTATTTTTATTTTCTTCTAAAAATTTATTAAAAGACTCCATATCTTCATCCAACATTTATTCGGACTTTTCCAAACCTCTTTTATGTAATCTAGTTTATTCTTCAAATTAATTGATTTATTCCCGTTTATGATCAATAAGCATTTAAAACAATAACATTTCACGTTTTTTTTCAATAAATTAATGCATTGGTTCTTTTTATTTTACACGATTTTTTATTGCGTTTTTAGCAGCATCTACTATATTTCTAATATATGTATATATTTTTTTATATATATATATATATATATAGTTTATGTTTACAATGTTAGGTTTTCATCGTCATATTCTTCTTCGATTTTATATAATTCGTTTAGTTTTCCAACTGTAAATGTACCTTTATTTTTTATACCTTTTTCCCATATTTTTAAGTTTTCGTTTTTTTATCTTTCCTTTATTTTTTTTTTTTTTATTTTTCTTTTTTCCTTTTTTTTTTTTTTTTTTACATGCATTCTTGTTTCTTTCTCTTTTTCTTTCATTTTTAATATCTTTTGTTTTTTATTTAATCATTTTTTTTTTTTTATTTTTTTTTAAAATAAAAAAAAAAATACTTCAGTATCTTCTGGAACATAAAAAGGGTTTTCTGCTAATTCTCCGTTTATTTAAATAATTTTTTTTTCTAAAATTTATAATTTAATATATATATATATATATATTAGTTTAGGCATTTTAATTTATTTATAAATAAAAAACCATTTGATATTTTAGGTAAATTAATTTTTTTATCTGAATTTGTACTATACTAAGAATTACTAGGTTTCTTTTATTATTATTTAGAAATAATCCATTTAATATATGTATTTTTTTATTAATAAATGAAAAAATTTATACTTATTTTGTTATATTTTGCATTTTTTATTATTTAAATTTTATTTATTTTTTTGTTTGTATTTCTTTTAATAAAAAAAAAAAAAAAAAATTTTTTATATATAAAAAAATATAAAATTAAAAAAATTTAATTATTTTTTATAATAAAAAATAAATATCAAATTTTAGATTTTAAAACTTTTTAAAAATTAGAATCTGGATTAACCGTTAATTATTAATAAGTTCCTTTTTCGATAATTTTACCGTTTTCCATTACAAAAATAACATCGAAATCCTTTAAATTATCAAGTCTATGGCTAACCAGAATAAGAGTTTTGTCAAAACATATTTTATCTAAAAGGAATTTCATTATTTTATCATTAGTTAAAGGGTCCATATTAGACGTTGCTTCATCTAAAATAATAATTTCCTTTTCTTATATAACTGATTATAGGAAATTAACTATTTGCTTTTCACCGTTTGAAAGATTATTTCCGGCTTTTTCAACTTCGAAATCTAAAAGGTTTTCTTTACATTTTATTCTCTCGAATTATATATTTAAATCATTAAAATATTATAATATATGATTGTCACAATAATTTCTCATAGGGTCTATATTATCTCTAAGTTTTCCTTGAAAAAGAAATCCATTTTATGGAATTACACTCTATTTATATTTATTATATATTATTTTTAATATTTTTAATTTTATAAAGAAAAGTATAATAAAGATTATTCACAGGATTATTTTAAATAAAATAAATAAAAAATATATAAGTAAAATAAAATTATATATAAAAAAAAATAAGTAAATATTTATATTTATATATATATATATATATATATATATATATATATTTATGATATATTATTTACAAAATTATCTCTTAATTCTTTTAATGATAAATATTTTATATTTGAATCCTTTAATATAATTTCTCCTTTATTAATATCATATAATTTTAAAAGACTGTTTATTATTGAGGTTTTTCCAGATCCAGTTCTTATATTATATATATGTATTTTTAATAAAAATATATAATTATTACCTTCCACAAAAAGCAACTTTTTATCCTTTTTAAATTTAAAAAGATACGTCATTTAAAGCAAAGTTCTAATTTTCGTTATATTATAAGAAAACATTAGAATACTCAATCAAATAGTTAAATTTATTAGATTTTTAATTAATTTTATTTATATCTATTTCTCTAAACTCATTTTTTTCTTCACAATATTCACGTGTTCTTTCAATCACTTTTTCTATTATTTTAAAATTTTAACCTGATCTTAATGCATTTCTTATCTTAAATACAAATATAAAAAAATATTAAATAATAAAATTTAATACACAGCCTATCATTCTATAACTATAAGCTAATGCCATAGAATAAATAGAAGGATTAAAAGATTAGGTATTAAGATTAGCTTAATAAAATGCGATAATTAAAACTATTGAAATAGATAAATAATCAACACAATTAGAAAGATAAAAAGGCGCTATTTTCGACTTTTGTATAAAATTGAATATATATTTATTTATATATGTATTTTTTTAACATTCATTATTTAGATTTCTTTTGCATATTTATATTTTTAAATATCAAGAAATTATTCTTTTATTTAATTTTATTTTTTAAATGCACGAATTGTTTTTAATCCACTTTTTTATATTAATATTTATTAAGTATTATTTTTAAAAAAATACTTTAGAATTTCAACAGAAAATGAACAATTGTCAATTTTAGATTTTTAAATTTAATTTTTTAAAATTCTTACATCTTTATATATTTGATTTTTTTCATATTATAAGATTCTATTAATTAAGAATATGGAAATACTAATAGCTATATATTTTTATATTAAAAAATAAATTATATATATATATATAATATATATATATATATATATATATATTTTTAAATTTTTATACGAATAAACATTAAATATAGTTCTGTAGTTAAAATAAATACAAGCTAAGCTAAATTAAAAAAAACTATAAAAAAATAATTAATTTGTAAATCATCTAAAAATGAAATATCATCAAACATTCTTTATAATATCATACCAACAGTGTATTTTCCTTCGAAAATTTTAATCTTTGCATAGATTGTATTTCTTATAATTTAATTAAAAATTTTTTAAGAAGTAGTTGTACTTGCATATGATAACATAAAACTCCTCAATATATTAAAAAAGCTCAAAAAAATGAAAATAATGGCTAAAGTTTATTTATAATCTCCTATAATAAATAATGGTTTGTAATTTAAATTATTTAAAGATAAAATAAATGTATGTGACCAATATTCAAATACTCCTTAGGATATTTAATGCACTATAGTTGACGTTAAAAATACACAGAATACAAATATGCCCATATTTTATAAAAAAAAATTACCAGTTTTATAATTTAAAGTTATATTTTTCCTCTTTTTATTTGTTTGTTATTTCGTTTTGAAAATATTCGCAGTTCTTATTATCTTCTTTTGCTTAAAAATAAGAAAAATCGAAGTTTTATAATTATTTAGTCTAAAAAGGTTGGATTTTTATTGTTTTTCCTTCAACTAAAAGTACTTAGCCTTCAAATTTTAAAAATGAATATTAGTTTAAAACTATAAGTATAGTCTTTTTTTATTCTAAGTATAAATAATTATAAAATGCTTATACAAATATCCTTTAGGCTACATTTTCATCTAATGAAGAAAAAACATCATCAAATAAATAAATGTCTTTGTTTTTAATATAAAGCTCTACATATACATATTCTTTATTTTTATCCGCCACTTAATTTGTTTCCATTAAATCCTACATCTTTTATTATGTATTTATATATATATAAATATATATATATATAAATATATATATAAATAACATGAATTTTTTTTTTACTATAATCATCTTTATCAGGAAAAGAATCAATATCCTATTCTAATTGACATAAAAGAATACATTTATCATATAGTTATTTATTGTATTACAAACCAAATAGTATATTTTGTTTCACTGTAGTATTTTAAAGCCAATTATTTTAAGATACATAAGCTAAAGTTCCATTTTTGTACATAATATTATTGTCCCCTTCTGTTATAAGTTCATTTAATATCAAATCTATTATAGCACTTTTTCCACTCCCAACTTTTCCAATTATAAAATTAAAAGAATTTTTTTAAATTTCAAAATGAATATTTTCTAAAGCTAAAGGCTTTTAATTTTGTCTAAGTAATAATTTTTTTTAAAAGTTTTTAGAAAATAATAAAAATTTTAATAAGGCCAAAAAGCATACTTAACGGAAAATTTAAGAGCTAAATTTTGGAATTTTTCTTATTATTTAAGAAAAAATCTATTTTCATTTGAAATTTATTATTAATGCATATAATCCTAAAGTCTTTTAAATTAAATAATTCCACCGAAAAAAGTGCCTATAGACCATGGTAATCCATTTAATGGAGAAACAAATTTATCAAAAAGAACTAATTACTAAAAATTAAAAATATATATAAATATATATATATATATATATATTTATATATACTTTTTTATAATTACTGTGAATATATTTATAGTTTATATTTATTTAAATTAACTTAAAGTAACAAATAGTAGAACTGATTATGTTATTCGTCTAAAAAAACTAATAAAAGAGTCTCCATATTGAATTCCTTTTACTTATTTATATTCTTTTTATCTTGCTTCTTCCAGTTTTTTTAAAAAATAAGTTTCCCAATTTAAATATTTTATTTGCTTTAATCCGTTTAATATGTCTTCTGATAGTTTTAGTCTTTAATCTTCGTAATATTTTAGGTTATATACAAATACTTAAATTATTCCAGCGCTTATTATAGCTAAAAGTGATACTAGAGCCGCTGAAAAGAATGAATATAAAGCTACTTCTTACATTATGGAGTACAAATAGGAAAAACCGATAAAAAGCTTCAATAAATGTTCGTACATGTTCATAAAATCCTCTATAGCGCATTCTATTCTGTGAACAATATAAAGCATATTTGTAAAGTTCATAACCTTCTATTCAGGAAAGCCAGGTATAGATGAAATATTGACAAAAAGATTCATAGATTTATCAAAAAGTTAATTTTATAAGAAAAAATTAGTTTTTATTTTCAAGTCTTTTTCATATTTTTCATATTTAACGTCTACATAGTCTTTAAGAACATTATTAAGGATTAATATAAAAGATAAGTATTTAATTTCTAACATATTTTTAAAATTTAAATAGTAATTTGTAGTTAATTTATCTAGTATTATGGGTCCACTGAAGTCAAGAAGTACAAAAATAGTCTTAATTAAAAATAAAAGAAGGATTTTAGGTAAAAAAGTGAGAAATAAAAAATTTAGATAGGTGTAGTTTTATTATTATATTATTTTTATAAAAAGAAATATAGATTTAATTTATGAATTCATGATTTATTTTTTATAATTCTTTTATATTTTTAATAAATAATATTATATTTATTTATGTAAACTAATATAATAAAATATTCTATTTATTATTTTATATAAAAACATTTATATAAAAATATAATTTATATAATATATAAATTAAAAATTTTTAAAAATACTTATAATAATATTTTTTATATATTAAATTATATTTTTAAAAGTTATATAAAAAGAATTAAATTTATATATATATTCTTTATTAAATATATAATATTTTAATGTAAAAAATAATTTTAAATAAAAAAAGCAATAAAATAAAAAAATAAAAAATTAAATATATTTATTTATATATATATATATATATATATATATATATTTATATTTATATATATTAAATATATATATTTTTAATTATATTTTTTTATATATTTATGTATATACACACATTATAATATTTGTTATATTTAATTTTATATTTTTTCAATTTATTATTTTAATTTTTTAATTGTGTTATTAATGTTTTTTGTTATCTAATGAATTTCTTATATTATTTTAATTTTTTAATTATTTTTTTTTTTTATTGAATTTTATATCTAATGTTTTATTTCTTTATTTTCTAATAATTTGTATTTGTTATTTAACGTTTTCATTATTTTAAGAAGAAAAAGAACAATTTTTTAAAGGTGAAAAATTTTTATTGAATTTTTTTTATTTTTAATTTTTAAATTAAGAAAAATTAAAATTCTCAAAAAAAGTAATATTATTATTTACAAGTTTTCTTTAATGATCATTTGTTTAATTTTTAAGTTTTATTTTATTAGTTTTTTTTTTTTGTCTTTATTTTCTTATTATATTAAATATTTTTTCAAAAATTAATCCTATATGTTATTTGGCTCAGTATATATTTTATTAAAAGTTTAAATTTCGTTATTATTTTTTTAAAAACTTGTACTATTTTCTTTATTAATTGCTATTGAATATTTCATAGATTCAGTTTATGTTGAATTTTTACTTTTATTTTGAGTTTGTAACACGTATTAGGATTCAGATTAATGTCTAAAAGGTAATAAAAAGTCATTATTATTACAAAAAAGTATATTGATTTTATTCTTTTATTAAGAATGTTTTGTACTTTGTGTATAAATTTAACCTTTTTACTATTAATCTTCGTTTTCATCAAAAAAATTTTATTTTAAATTTTTTTTAAATAATTGTTCTCTTTCTAAATTTTTGAATTAATAAATTAGTTGAATGAAGTCAAAAAATTATGAGAGTTTTTCTTTGTTAATTATTTTTAATGTTTTCCTTGTATATTATCAGGGGAATACTAAGTTTTTTCTATATTTAAATGAGTTATTTAAAAACTGTTTAATGGTTCAGTTTAATATGTTTGACTTCTTTTCTTTAATTAGTTATTCTAATGAAAAGAATAGGTTTTCTTATATATATTATATTGTTTAATTGCTTTAGAACCTAAAGATGAACTTGAGGGTCTTTGCTTTTTAACTAATTATTTAATATTATTTAATATTTATTGATAATTATTTTTATTATTTTTGAAAGTATTTTAATAATTATTATTAGTTGAGTTTATATTATTATTATTGTTTTTTAAAGTTTTTGATTTTAATTTATTTTGTACATTTTATCTTGCTTTTTATATATTTGAAATTGGGATTTCAAAATTTAAATGATTATTTTATTTTAATAATAAAATGGGTTTTATTTTTAAATTTTTTTAAAATTATATTTAAAATTGCTATTATTTTTATTAAAATTATTATTATTATTATTATTATTATTATTATTATTATTATTATTATTATTATTATTATTATTATTGAATTTTATTTTATATATTTTAGTATTTATTTATTATAATTTATTAATTTTATTTTAATAATTATATTTTTCTTTAGGATGTATTTTTATTAAAATATATATTTATATTTTCTTATTCTTCTTTTATTTTATTTTGATTAAGAATTTATAATTATTCACTTTTTTCAGTATTCATTTAATTATATTCTTTTAATATTTCTTTTTCTAATAACACATTGTTGTTAATACAAGGTATTTAAGCTTTTTTGTTAATTGTTATTTAAATTTTTTTAAATATTATATAGTTTACTTCTAATTAACGGTATAAAAAAAATCTTTTTGAAAGCTTTTTAAGCTTGTTATCTTAAGTTAACACCAAATGCTGTTTTCAATATTTTGACATTAAAAGGAAAAATATATTCTTCAGGCTTTATTTTTTTATAAATAATATTTAAAAAAAAAATTATTTTAATTATTTAATAAAATATAATAGATAATAATTAATTAATATAAAAATAAAAAGGATAAAAAAATATATATATATATATATATACATATTTTTATATATATTTATATATATATATTACTATTATTTATTTTTCTATTCCATGAAATCTTTAATAAACATTTATTATTTATGAAAGTAATGGTGCATCATGTGGAATTAAAGTATATACAATTTCTAGGCTTTTTGCAAGCCAGAATTCGCTGTTTTAATTTTTTTTTAATTTATAAAATTTAAAATTTAAAAATTAAATATACAAAAATACGAATCGGATATAATTGGAGAATTATCAGTTTGCTTTTTATGATATTATTCTTCTATATATCTAGTTTCTGTTGATATACAATAGAAACAAACAGCTAATTATACTATTCTTTTTATTAAATTATCTATATCGAAAATCTCTTTTTTCTTTTTGAATTCTTATATGTCATATATTGAAATCGGTTTCATTTGTAATATATTTAAAATATTTGAATTTAAAAGCCAGCTTCCTTCTTTTATATTTTTCAAAAGGTAGCTCATATTTATTTAATTATTTATTTTTAAAAATTATAATTTATTTTTTAATTAAACTAAAATCTTCTTTTTCTTTAAAATTTTTTCACCTAATTCGTTTCTTAAATCTTTAAAATTATCTTCCAAAAAAGCCAATACTGGCAGTACATTCTACAAAATATTCTCCATATCATCTATTTATGTTTACTAATCTTCCCCAAAATCCTCACTTAGACTGTCAATTGAGCAATTACTAGAAGACTAGAAACCAAAGGAGGATTATTCGAGAAAAATCTGGTTTAAATTTTCTTGTAAAGTTTCTTAAGCGCTCTTAAAAATATAAACAAATAACAAATCATAAATGAAATTAATACATATTTTAGCACTTTTCCTTGAATATTTTAAAGCATCATTATGTTTTCCAATTTCGCTAAAAAGAATACACATTTATAAATTTAAAGAAAGTCTTAAACTATTTTTTGGTAGAATTTTTTCTATATTGGAAATGAATTTTGATATTTTTTAGAAATTTTTAATTTATTTGAATTTCTATTAAATTTTACACTTTATCCTCACATCAGAATTTTCAAAACTGGAATAAGCCTTATCAAACAAGCCTGCTCTATAGAAACATATTCCTAAATTAATTAATATACAAAGCATTATATTATTTTTTATTTTTCCTTATTTTTACATATAGGAATCTATTATTACTTCCGCGCTTCTTAATTGCTATATAGCTTCTTTTAATTTATTTTACTCCATATATAAAAGTCCTTATAAGGCACTTTAAATTAGATAGTTTTTTACTTCGGATTCATGTAGGATTAATATATTACTGTTGTTTATAATTTTGGGCTTTTGGTGGGGAGTATATATTATTTAAAAATTTTAAGGCTTTTATAATATTTGAATTATTTCTTATAAATTTTATTAAGAGGTGGTGTTATTTTGTAGTTGGTCACTAGGAGGAATTATTAAAGGGTTTTTTAAGCGAGGACTTAATATGGGGACTAATTCAGGATCTTTTTTAATATTTATTGGAGACTTTTTTTACGGTTATTATAAATTTCTGAACATATTTTTTTATTTTTAAATTGGTTTTTTTTTTTCGTTTAAAAAAAATATTATATGTTTTTTGATGATTATATTTACATTTAAATTTAATTGTTTTTTTGAGTGTTTTTATTTATTTTTAGGATTTTCATTTATTAAAATAAATTCGATTTTATTAAAAAAAAATAAGTTTAAATAATAATAATAATAATAGGTTTGTAAAATTTTTAGTAAAATATAAATTTTTGGAAAATGAATTTTATGGAAATATTTAATTTTTAAAAAATATAAAAAATATTTGCAAAAAATCAGAATAAAATAAATTTTGGAAACATTTTGTATTTATAAAATTCAAAATGAGTATTTTATATATAATTAAGAACCGAAATTTATATGGTATATATTAAAATGTTTAAATATTAAATATATTGAATTTCTAATGTTCTATATAGTATTTCAATACAATTTATGTATTATTAATTCTATATTAAAAAAAAAGAGAAGTTTTTTGGGTTAAAATATACGTTTATTTAGACATTTCAAGCCCTTATTTTTTATAAAAAAGTGACTATTTTTTGAATTTTAAAAGGACAAATATCCCTTAATTAGCGGTTTTAAAAAAATAGGATGAATCGTCCTTTTAATATATTTTTAGTTAGGATTTGTTAAATGAACAAATGGAAAATTCGGTGACTATATTAAAGTAGTTTTTTTAAAAAATATTAAAAGCTTTTCTTTATTTTAGTTTAAAAAATTGATGTAATCTTCGAATATAAGTTTCTATGAATGAATTCGAGAAAAAATATTCATTACATTTAATGTTTTTATGAAATAATAGGTAATATTAAATAGTCTATGAATAAGTTTGGAATTTTTTAGAAGATTTTTTAGTATATTTGTCTGAATGGGATATTAGTTAAAAGGGATTATATAATTTAAATATTTTATTTTTTAATTAATATTAAAATATTTTAATTGATAAATATTTAATATTTAATTATGTATTTGGTATTTTTTTTATTTTTAAAAATAACCAATAAAAATATTATTTTAATTTTATTTTATAATAAAAAAATAGTTATAATGCTTTTTTTTCAAAATAAAAAATAAATAAATTAATAAAAATATATATGGATAATACAAAAAGGTAGGAATCACCTTATTAATTTGATCGTTCTTTAAAAACATTTGACATTTATAGTAATATAATAAAAAACAAATATAATTATAAAAATAAAATGTAATTAATATATATTAGAAGCTACTCCAAACAAACCATGGATAAAAGATATTTAGTCTAAAATTCTTTATACAGAAGATATATAAGGTAATTAAAAATAAATAAAATATATAAAATAATAAAAGGCGCATAACCAAAAAAAAGAATACATGAATTATATACTTATTTTGATAATAAAAATTAAACGTATATAAATTACTAATAAAAAAATAAAATTTTTATTTTATTAATTAATGAAAAAAAAAATTAGAAAAAGAAATTAAAATAATAATAACATTAATAATAACACAAATAATGATAAAAATAATGATAATAAAAAAAATGATTATAATTATGATAATAATTATGATAATAATAATAATAATAATAAAAGAATAAATAATTTGAAAGAAGAAAACTATAAATAAATATAAATATAAAAAACAAATGAATTATAAAATGATATATAATAATATAATTAAAATTAGATAAATTATACATAAGAAAATGAAATATTGTAAAAATAATAATAATAATAATAATAATAATAATAATAATAATAATATTATAATGAAAAATCTTAATTTTTTTAAATGCCTTTATAATCAAATAATTAATATTTGTAATCTTAACATACATCAAATTATTAATCTACTTTAAAAAATTATTATTAATCTATAATCGATTAAAAATAATAATATTAACAAAATATGTTATAATCACAATAATTAAATAATGATAAAGAATTTTTAAATATTTAAAATCAACCTATATATTCTTAATATGACAAATACAATGAATCAAAATATTTTGTCAACTAAGATATTTAATAGAATCCGAAAATCATTTCTTATTAATAATCTAATTAGGATATTGAATAAAATGATTAAATTAGAAGTGAATATAATAATAGTAACATATTAAATAAAGGATAAGTAACAAATGATTAATATTCTTCTAATTTATAAAAAAATTAAATTTGTAAAAATCGTCAATTTATAAATTAAATTGATGATTAATAAATATATTAAAAATAATAAGATTATTCGTCATTAAATAATTTTATTTAAAATTATAATAATGATTAAAAAAAAAATATTAACAAAAAATATGAATAAATTTAAAATAATTTAGTCCTTTAATAACCAGTTTCATTGAAATAATAATAAGAAGAAGATTTTTAAAGTATATTTAAAATTTTTTTATAGAATTTTTTAATTATAAAATATAAATAATATATAAAAAAAAAAATATCTATTTAAATATATATATATATATATATATATATATATATATATATATATATATATATATATATATATAAATATATATAATAGATAATAATAGTCCTCTTTTAAAAATTCAATTAAAAGAAAATAATATAATAAATAATAATGTATCACCATTTTACGATAATTAATATTAATAAGATTAATTTAATTATAATTTAATTAGTAATAGTTTTTATAAAGACGATGGAAAGCCTTAAATATTAAACTTAAGTTTGTTTAAATAATAAAATAAAAATATTAATGTATATGGTAAAAGTGATATTTTTTAAGGTTAAAAATATTAATTTGATGAATCTTATTTAAGAAAGTATTTTTTTTTTGAATATAATTTTTATAAATTTTACATTATAGAAAATATCATTATTCTCATAATTATTAATAAACAGGAAACATTAAAGATATTATATATTGAATTTTTTTTAATTAAAATATTAATTATTTATAACGTTTTTTCTTTATTTGTCTAATATTTTAAGAATATATTATTTTAATAAAGAGATAAAAGTACATTTTATTTAAAAAAAAATTATTAATAAAAATAAATAAATAAAAATGATTAATAATTCCATTTTTTTTTTTCTAAAAAAATTTAAATAATAAACAAAAAACAAAAAGACCTATAAAAAAATAAAAAAACTAACATACGCTTTATTAAAAAAATAATCTTTTTTTTTATTTTTATTTTTGTTTTTAATAAATAAATAAATAAAAGAAATATTTTCAATCTTTCTTAGAGGCACCAGCAGCAGATTTACCATGAGAAGTAGGTTTATAAGTCATAGCAAATTCAGCGAGATATTTTCCAATCATATCAAATTTAATTTCGACATTCACAAATGATTTTCCATTATAAACACCTATAATACCTCCTACTAAATCAGGGACTATTATTTATTTTTTGTTTTTAAAGATAAAAAAATATTATATATATTATTTACTAACAATCATAGATCTGTAATGTGTTTTAACTGGTTAAGGTTTTTCACCTGCAGGGCATTTTTGTTTTGATTTTCTAACTTTCATGACAAATTTAGCATATTTTTCAGAAAGTCCTCTTTTGACTCTTCTTCTGGTTTTGGCATCGAAAAGTTAAGCTAATTCGTCGGAAATTAACTTTTCTTTGCTTGATCCTTAAGCTAAATGTTATAATTCTTCTAAACTTTTTCCTCTAAAAGTGAATTTTTTAATATTCTTTTCTTATTTTTTTACTTCAGCCATTTTTTTTTTTTTTTTTTTTTTTTTTTTTTCTTATTTTGATATTTTTTTTTTTTAATTCTTTTTTTTTTTTAATTATGTATTTTCTTTTTTTATCTTTTTTATTTTTTGATCCTTTTTTAATTTTAATTTTTTTTTTTTTTTTTTTTTTAAAATATTTTTTACTAAAAAAAATAAAATATTATTAAATTTTTATATAATTTACAAAAAAAAATGATTTTTAATGATGAATTTCCTATTTAATAATATTTATAAGACTTAAAATCTGAAGATCCAAATTTAAAAATAAACGCAGTTTAAAGGCTTCCAAATATAACCTCAAATTTAGGTTTTAATTTTAAAAAAGTAATAAACAAATAAATATAAAAAATAGATTTTTAATAAATAAAAAATTAATTAATTCCTTTTATTACCGAAACAATATAAGATCATGAAAATGATGATGAATTTTTAAAATTATTAAGCGAGAAAATATTATATATATCCACTTAATTAAAATAAGAAGATCATCATTTGTTAATAACACCTTTAGAATTAATAATTTCATTAGAAGAACCTTAAGTAAGACAAAAAGGAATAGATATATTAATCTAAATATCAGAAAATAATGAAACATAAAGTAAATAAAAAATAAAATTAGCCTAAAAAATGAAATATTTAAAAAAAAAGTATATTTCGAATACTTATATAATTCAATAAAATAAACTTATAAATGGGAAAATATTCCCAATAAAATTTGTATAATATATATAATATCCAATTTTAGCTAAAGAATCGAAAAAGCAGTTTTAAATAAGAATTTTTTATTTTAAATAATTGAAGAATTAGCAAAAGATTAAGCTTAAATTGTAAGGAGAAATTTATGTGAAAACCTATAAAAAATAAGTCATATTTTTGTGGAAAAAAATGATTAAATTTTCCTATTTTATTAATGTTTTTTACAAGACGAAAATGATTCTGTAAAATCGAAAGCCATTTAAATTTCTCCTTTTTTTTTACGTCTTTTTCATTAAAAATTAAAAAAAAAAATCTTATTTATTATTTCAAAGATCTCGTTTTTAACTTCAAATTGAAAAACTGGAAAGTAAAAACGGCTATAGGCTATATTATTATACCTCTATTTGAATTTCTAGTACCTTCTGAAGTTTCCGAGAAGGAAATAATAGACCTTTTCGAAAAAATAATTAGAGATCCCGAATAAGAAGTAAGATATACAGCTATTTAAGTATTAAAATAAGTCCTTAATTTTTAATAATAAGGGCATTTTTTTACAAAAATAGCCTCAATTTTATCTACGGATTAAAGCTCGAATGTTAGGCTTGGTTTTGCTAAGATTTTAAGTGTATTTTTAGATAAATATGTGGAAGAAAATTAGAAAGAAATTGTACTTTTTTCATGTTTGAGAAATTTTTTAAAGGAGGAGGAAATTTTCGAGGTGAAATTTGAGATTTTCGAACAAATTTCTGAATTTTTAAAGGTTTGTGAAACTGAAAAGATTTTAAAGGAATTTTTTGAGGATGTTTTTATTGAAAAATAATGGAAATTAAGACTTTGTTTTGTAAAATAAATACCTTAAATAGCAGTTTTTTGTGAAAAAACAAAGAAAAATTACTTTAAATATATAAAAGAATTCCTTTTTGATCATTATTAACCTATTAGAGTATAAAATTGGTAAAATTTTAAGTTTTTGAGAGATTATGAAGAACATAAAATTTTATATTTAGAATGTATTTAAGAATTATGTTTTTGTTAAAATTATATTTTTAGAAATAGTGCTATATAGTCATTAAGTTTTATTTAAAGCTTCCTTAATTAATAAGATATGAATGAAGCTTTTAGGTATATTTTTATAAATTTAAGTAAAGATTCAGTTTTAAATGTTATTGTGTGTCTAGTAAAGGTTTTTTAAGAAGTAAAATAATATATTTAGGACGATTTATAAAAAGAGTTTATAAAATAAGTGAAATATAGTTAATTTTTTAATGATTAAGATGTTTAATATTTCATTAAATTAAATTGAATATAATATAGTATATAATTTTTTTTAAGTTAATTATTATTATTAATGTTTTTATTTTTTTAATAGAATATTTCTTTAATTCTTAATAAAAATAATATTAAAAATATAAACAGAATAATTTTATAAATAAAAAAATTAAAAAATTAAAATAAATATAATTAAGTAATGTATAAAAATATAATATAAAAAATATGAATATATATAAAAATAATACAAAAGAATACAAAAAGAAATAAGAAAAAGATTTTAGAGAAAATATAAATATAATATATGATTAAAATAAAAAAAAAATATAGATTTAAAGAAAAGATTGATAAAGTAAAATATAAAAAATATGATTTTATGTTATATGAACTATTTAATATAGGAAATTGTAAAAATATTAAAAAATCCATAAAATAAAAAAAATGTATATAATTAAAATCAATATTATGTAAAAGTATATATAAATAAAAAAGAAAATATAAAAAGAATTTTTGTATATATATTTAAAGTATTTTAATATAAAGATAAAATTTAATACAAAAGAAAATTATATATATTCTTCTAATTAAAAAAAAATATATATGTATTATTTCAAAAAATAAATAAATTAAATATTAAAGATAGATAATTGAAAAAATATATATAAAAAATATTTATATAAAATTATAAATATATAAATAAATATTAATAATATATATAATATATAAATATATGTTTTTTTTTATTTATAAATTTTTTTAATTATACATTTATTTATAATTTATTTTTTAAACTTTTTATATATATAAATATTATTTTTTATTATACATTTAAATTTAAACCTTTATTTAATTTTTCTTTATTTTAACTATTAAATATAAAATTTTTATAATAATATAAATGAATTTAATTTTATATTTATAAATTTAAATAGAATTCTTTTTTATTTTTTTGAAATTAAATAATAACTATTTATTTTATTGTATTTTTATTATATGTTTAAAAAAGTATAAATAAAAATTATATAGTTTATTAATGAGAAATAAATTAAGTTTTTTTATGT